AAAATTCTTGTCATCACGTTCTCCATGTTGTTTTCTATTGCTGATCAGGGTTTTGTTTTGTTTTTTTTTTTTAATGAGAAAGCAAGAATGCTATATAGTTAAGAACTGGTACCTCACTTTCACGTTTCAGCCTATATTTATGAAAGAGGAAAGGTTAGGGAAGAGGAGAGAGAATATACCTGCACTGACCTTCTTTGCAAGGCACAGAAGTTTCCATGTGTTTTTGTGGAGTGTTGAATGTCAATGAATCGAAAGCAGACATGAAATTGTATCTAGGGATCCCTGGGTGGCGCAGCGGTTTGGCGCCTGCCTTTGGCCCAGGGCGCGATCCTGGAGACCCAGGATCGAATCCCACGTCGGGCTCCCGGTGCATGGAGCCTGCTTCTCCCTCTGCCTGTGTCTCAGCCTCTCTCTCTCTCTCTGTGACTATCATAAATAAATAAAAATAAAAAAAAAAAGAAATTGTATCTAAATGGGGGATAAACAGTTTAGGCATTTTTTATTTCCTCTTGATGCTGGCCAAAGGCTTTGTCCAGACACATCTCCAGCATTTCTTACACTTATCCCACTTTACATTTTATGGGATGCTTCATGTGCGTCATTTGACCCTTAACAACCCTGTTAGGTAAGCAGGGCAAATGTGGAGCACTTCATTTTGCAAATGAAAGAACTGAAGTTCAGAGAGGGATGGCTTGCCAAGTGGCCCACAGAGATAGAGGCATGTGTTTTAATTCCCTGTCCTGTATTCTTTCCACCATAAAACATCGATTAACATCATTATATCCCTTCAAAGGATATAACATCAACAAGCTGGTACAATTGAGGCAAGTCTCTAACTGCCTTACTTCCTCTCACAAACAGCTATCAATGCAACCAATTTTGGGTGCCTGTTAATGCAAGTGCTAGGAGTCCCAATCTTAACTCCATGTGATCCTGTGAATATCTGTGTTTATATGAGGAATTAAAATTGTTATCCAGGTGATTCAAAAGGAAAGAAAAGTTTTATCCAGAAAAGCGTCTTTTCCCAGTAACTAAATGCTTGGAACATAACAGTGCAATAGCTTTCAAAGTCTTCTCATTTGAATTTTTATTTCTTAAGCAACAAAAGTGTATTTTGGCCATTCAGCCAAATGACAGGATCAGCTGTGACTTGTCCTTGGTTTGGTTTGTAGACATGACAGGGATTAGCAAAATGTGGTGGTTTAGAAAGAGAATCATCACATATGAGAAGTGAAAGGAACCCTGGTGATGATCTAATCCAAGTCTCCAGGGGAGTTGGCCAATATCACACGGATAACTGTTTGCAATTTCTGCATGTCCACTTCATTTGCCATGTGCACGCCTAAGACTGCTTTCTAGAGCTGAGAGAGAATAACCAGCTCTGGAGGCCAGTTGGTGGGGGTGGTAGGAGTTGAAAATCTAACTTGTGCATGGTTAGGATAAACGGAGCAATGCCTAAATGCCATAAGGGTTTGCTGTTAAAAAATATCCATGTTTAGAAGTATATCCTGTAGGGACACATGGGTGGCTTGATTGGTTAAGCATCTGCCTTCATTTCAGGTCATGATCCCAGGGGGCCCTACAATTAACCTCCCTGCTTGGTAGGGGGCCTGCTCTCCTGCTGCTTCCTCACTTGTGCTCTCTCACTCTCTCTCCAATAAAGAGATTAAATCTTTTAAAGAAAAAAAAAAGTATATCCTATAGTTTATAGCAAAATGTCACATTCATTATATTTATTTTGTTTTAAAAACTCTACAATAAAACAATAAACTCACATTTGGTTTATTGCCCTACACATCATCTTTGGTATATATTGAATAATTTGTCTACAGGGCTGTCTTTCTGGGAGAACTCCAAGGTTCACAAGATATTTAAAATAAGCCATTTCTCTAAACTGAGAGCAAATGGATTTTGACAGATTAAATCTGAACATAAGACAGAAAATAATGCACTTTAGTACCAATGGTTTCTTTAACATGAATATGGAATTGCTAAGAGCTTAAGTGTTTGGTTTTTTGCTGTAGTCATTCTTTTCCTTCTAGAATGTACTCCAGGGGTGCCTGGGTGGTACAGTCACTAAGCATCTAATTCTTGGTTTCGGTTCAGGTCATGATCTCAGGGTCATGACATCAAGCCCCATGTCAGGCTCCATGCTCTATGTGAAGTCTGCTTAGGACTCTTTCTCCCTCTCCCTCCCTCCACCCTCTCTCTCAATTCAATAAAATGAATCTTTGGAGAAGAAAAAAAAAAGAAAAGAATGTACTCCAGGTCATGTTGTACATGTGTTGAATTTCCAGGTATCAAAGATAGCCATATGTTTTAAGTTGCCATCAGCTAGACCATAGACTGCGTCAGTACTATACAGTGTTTCATTATTTCCCAAAATAAGCTACCCAAGCCAAATGACCTAAAGTCTAGCTGTGATTATGGAGTCAAGGTAAACTGAAAGTCCACCCTGGACCATCCACTTTTGTTCTTTGTTCAAAAGTATTGGGAGATAATAGAATAGTTTCATCTATTGCTACTTCTCTCCTTGGTCTTTGCAGTGATAAGCATCAGGAAGATGCATCTAAAATGGGCAGGTGAACAGATAAGATATGGAAAATCTAGAATATGGATTGTCAGAACAAGAATGATAGCAGCAATCCCAGAACTTAAAATGCCCTCTTAATATAATATACCTGTTATATGACTGTGTGACCTCCTAGAAAGTACAGAGGGACCTGGTTACTTATGGTAAGAGCACGAGAGTGGATGGGACCTGACCAGTGCCTCCTAAGGAATGTTGTAGGAGCAGAACGTTGCTGGTGTCATCCTGCCATTGGCCTCTGTGGGTGCAGATTTGAGGTGAGCAATCCCAACTTGGCCTTCGTAAACCCTCTGAATCCATCATCCATGGATGCATCTAAACCTTCTGGAAGGACTTCTAACCTTAGCCTCCCCAGTCTCTTAGAATAGGTCGAGGACAACCTTTTTTCTACAGTGATTCATTGATCCACATTTTTCAAGGAAATTCTGAAGTACGCTCAGGCAAAAAGTACTTACCTTAGTTTTGTCCAAGAAAAATATGTAAAATACTGTTCCTTAAGCTAAGGAACGATAAATCTTGATTCAGCATCTGTAACACACTCTGAAATACATTATACTGTGGGTTTACTTGATACTTGTGGTTTTACTTGAGGGGAAAGCTGGAAGCTGAAGAACAGAACAGAAAACAGTGAAAGGTGTCGAGGAGGCCTAAGAGGAGAAAGGGTGAGGAAAGTAACCCAGGAGAAGAGAAATGTACAAGAGTAAAGAGAGGGAAACAGAGGGAGAAAGAACAAGAGAAGACTCTGGTTTACAAGTCCTGATGTCAGAGGCAAACTGATTTTTTCATGATTTCAGGTTTACTGAGCTGTGAGGTCTGAAGCTGCTTAATCATTGTCCCTTGAAATATTTACTGGATCTTTCAATTAAATAGTCACTGCCATGGGGCACCTGGGTGGCTCAGTGGTTGAGTGTCTGCCTTTGGCTCTGGATGTGATCCCAGGGTTCTGGGATCAAGTCCTGCATCAGGCCCCCCATGGGAGCTTCTCCCTCTGCCTATGTCTCTGCTTCTCTCTCTCTCTCTCTGTGTCTCTCATGGATAAATAAAGAAATAAAATCTTTAAAAATAATAAAATTAAATAGTCACTGTCAGGATATCTTTCTCAAAGCTACATATAATATCTGATAGCAGTGGCCGTGCCCAAGATCATGGACAAAGGTCAGAGGAAACCAAGCCAGACCTAATCTAGGTAAGAGGGGCTTCCTACTTCACCAAGATGTGTGTGTCCCAGATGCAGTCTTTACTAAGCAAAAAAGTACTTCCTCCCATTGCTCTCAAATCTTCATCTTCATCCTCAGCTTTATAAATCTCAGCCTTACAGAGATCCCTATGTGGGCTGTCGTATTGTGCATGGCTTCATGGATTTCCCACATACCAGTTCCTGGCCATTGTCTATCCAGACCAAAGTCCTGTTCATTTCAGCCTGTAATGATACGAGTACCTTTCATTCATTTAGCAATATTTGTGTGTCGTGTAATCTTCGCAACAACCACGAAACAGCTATGACTGCTCTCTTTGTTCTACAAATTTGTAAACTGAGCCAATGAGAGGTTGAAAACGTGCCCAGGGTCACCCAGTAAGTGATAAATCCAGACTCAGAGCTCAAGCTGACTAAAATCCAGTCACCCCAGCTTCTCATTTCCCCCTGAGCTCTTCCTCTTTCCTGCCTCATCTGACATCGTGCTATTTCCTCCACGTAAAACGTCTGCCCTGCATCAAAATCACCATGGATGGTCAACAAGCTCTTCTTTCTGGAAGCTTCCTTGACTGAATGAAGTTTGTGCTAATCTTCCTTTCCCACATGATGCCAGCCAGACGTCCACACATCCCAGGGCGAAGGCTCTCCTGAGTTGGCTCTGCCATCAGTGTTTACCGGATAAACAGTATTTGTTGGACGAGAAGCATTGTTGTACTAAGTGCCGTATTATCTCTCCATGTGTGGGTCTGCATTCGTGGTTTTAGTTGTAGAATAAAACTTCTAGAAACCATGAATTCTGTCTAGCATATGTAGCATGTCAGGCGATTCACTTAAAGAAATACAAGCCAGGTGGTTAAGGGAGAAAAATAACAAAACTAAGAGAGGAGAGATTGCTCTTCAAGGCGATTCCAAAGGGTGGTTACTCACACAAACCTGCCTAAGAACGAAGGCGGGGGGTGGGGAGGTAGATATTTTTCTTTTTGCTCAAATTGCTTAGGCCCTGGAATTTAAATGTGTACTACATTGGGCTTCTAAGTAAGATGAACTCATAAAGAGTGAATGTGTTTGCATTAGTTAGGGAATTTTAGGTTGTAACGTTACCTTCCTGGAATATCTTTTTGAGCAATTCCTCTAAAGAACAGCGAATCCGTATGTCTCCCAGCTGCCTAAACAACTAAGAGGATTTGCTAACTTGGACTTGCTTCTCTTTTCCAGATCTTGGCCATCGTGTCTATCCTGTTCATCGTACTCTCCACCATCGCTCTGTCTCTCAACACTTTACCAGAGCTGCAGGAAATGGATGAGTTTGGACAACCCAACGACAACCCCCAGTTGGCACACGTGGAGGCTGTGTGTATTGCTTGGTTTACCATGGAGTACCTCTTACGCTTCCTGTCCTCACCAAATAAGTGGAAGTTCTTTAAAGGCCCACTAAATGTCATTGATTTGCTGGCCATCTTGCCCTATTATGTCACCATCTTCCTCACGGAGTCCAACAAGAGCGTGCTGCAGTTCCAGAACGTGCGGCGCGTCGTTCAGATCTTCCGGATCATGCGCATCCTCCGGATCCTGAAGCTGGCCAGACATTCCACAGGCCTGCAGTCTTTGGGGTTCACCCTCAGACGGAGTTACAACGAGTTGGGCTTACTGATACTATTTTTGGCCATGGGGATAATGATATTTTCCAGCCTGGTTTTTTTTGCTGAGAAGGATGAAGATGCTACCAAGTTCACCAGTATCCCAGCGTCGTTTTGGTGGGCCACCATCACCATGACCACCGTGGGCTACGGTGACATTTACCCCAAGACACTACTAGGGAAAATCGTGGGAGGCCTCTGCTGCATTGCCGGGGTTCTGGTGATTGCCCTTCCCATCCCGATCATCGTGAATAATTTTTCTGAGTTTTACAAGGAGCAGAAACGCCAGGAAAAAGCGATTAAAAGGCGGGAGGCTCTGGAGCGGGCCAAGAGGAACGGAAGCATCGTTTCTATGAACTTAAAAGATGCCTTTGCTCGAAGCATGGAACTGATAGACGTGGCCGTGGAGAAGGCAGGCGAGTCGGCCAGTACCAAGGACTCGGCTGACGATAACCACCTCTCTCCAAGCCGGTGGAAGTGGGCCAGGAAAGCTCTGTCAGAAACAAGCTCCAACAAGTCTTTCGAGAACAAGTACCAGGAGGTGAGCCAGAAGGACTCCCACGAGCAGCTGAACAACACGTCTTCCTCCAGCCCACAGCATCTGAGCGCCCAGAAGCTGGAGATGCTCTACAACGAGATCACCAAGACACAGCCTCACGCCGCCCCGAACCCCGACGGCCAAGAGCAGCCCGACAGGCCATCTGCCTACGAGGAGGAGATCGAAATGGAAGAGGTGGTCTGCCCGCAGGAGCAGCTGGCCGTGGCGCAGGGCGAGGTCATCGTGGACATGAAGAGCACGTCCAGCATAGACAGCTTCACCAGCTGCGCCACCGACTTCACCGAGACGGAGAGGTCGCCCCTGCCACCACTTTCCGCCTCCCACCTGCAGATGAGGTTCCCCCCCGACCTCGCAGGGACCGACGAGCACCAAAGAGCCCGGGGGCCCCCGTTCCTGATGCTCGCCAGGGAGAAGGGGCCCGCGGCCAGGGATGCCATCCTGGAATACGCTCCAGTCGACATAACGGTGAGCCTGGATGCCAGCGGTTCCCAAAGTGGGCTCCACGGCCCCCTGCAGCCCGACGGTGCCTCGGAGAGCCCCAAGAGTTCGCTGAAAGGCAGCAACCCCCTGAAATCCAGATCGCTCAGAGTGAACTTCAAGGAGAACAGAGGCAGCGCCCCGCAGACCCCCCCCAGCACAGCCCGGCCGCTGCCCGTCACCACGGCGGACTTCTCCCTCACCGCCCCGCAGCTCATCAGCACCATCCTCCTAGAAGAAACCCCCTCCCAGGGAGACAGGCCCTTGCTGGGCGCCGAGGTCTCGGCACACTGTCAGGGACCTTCCAAGGGGCTGACCCCCCGGTTTCCCAAGCAGAAACTCTTTCCTTTCTCATCAAGAGAGAGGAGGAGCTTCACCGAAATAGACACTGGCGAAGACGATGACTTCTTAGAGCTCCAGGGGCCCGGGCAGGACAAGCAGGCCGAGCCCAGCCCTAACTGCTTTGCAGATAAACCTAGCGACGGAAGAGACCCTTTAAGAGAAGAGGCCTGTGTGGGCTCTTCCTCCCCCCAGGACACCAGTCACAACTGTAGGCAAGACGTTTACCACGCTGTGGCTGAAATGAAAAAGGACAGTAGTCAAGAAGGGTGCAAGATGGAAAACCACTTGTTTGCCCCAGAAATTCATTCCAACTCGGGAGACACAGGTTATTGTCCCACACGTGAAACCAGCATGTGACTAGTTACAAAAGCAATAATAATCATAATAATAAAACACTTGTTTCTTAAAAAACCGGGTAATAATGCCTGTGAACTAAAAACATGGGAAGCCCCTGTCCCCCTCAAAAAAAGTGCATAAAATGTTATTTTTGCATGGCATGAACAGTTTAGTTTAAGTACTGTTTAAATAAAGAGTCAAGACTGCATTTTGTAACAAACAGACAAAAATGACTGAGGAACAGTGAACAAATAAAGAGAGCTCTATTAGGAACCAGTATTCTGCAATGTCTGACATTTTTGGTCCTTTCATTCCACATTGTAGACAGATTGTCGACTTTTACCTTTTCTGTTACAATGAATTTTAGAATTTGCACATGAAAGGATGAAATGTCATTGCATGCATTCATAATTATGAGGACCAAGGTGCTTTGAGCTGGCAAAATGTGTACCTTTGTAAATAATGGGACCCGGGATGCAAAATTGTCAAGAACCTCTGGAAACAAGTTTCTGAGACACAGGTACTTCCTTCTCAGCTACTGCCTGGAGAAGCTGTACAGACTTCTTGTTGCAAAATTGCAACCTCTTCTTAAACCCTCTCACATATCTTGCTTTGGGTTATAAAGCTCTTAAAAGTACATTTGTTTAAAGGAATACAGTATTTTTATTGTGATATAATTCATAGGGTGCATTTTTCTTTTGTGCTTCTGCTTAGTTCTGGCATTTGTGCTTTATTTATAAATCATGAAAACAGGCAAGATTTAATGACCAGATTATCAACAAATTTTGAATTTAAGCTTGAAATTTTGCCAATTATATATCCAAATTTTACCACAGCCTAAAAACCTGAAAATATGTCAAAGATTCTCATACAACTCAACTTTTTTTTTTTAAAATGCCACTCCACATTTGGAAATTGGGTTTGTTTTTGGGTTTTGTGTCTTTTTTTTAGTTGTATGTTGGCCATCAAAAAAGGACGGTATTTTCCACTTGTAGCCGACATGAACTTCTCTATCTAAAGAACTAAAGATAGAATGCAGATATGCCAAAATGGGAATTCCAAAAAGTGACTTTTGACAAACTAAAAGCAAAACTTTTTATTAAGTGAGACTGCTGTCCCTCTCATAGTTAGTTGGGTTCAGAAATGAGCTACCATAAAAGGAGCCCAGTATTTCCCAGTGAGGGGAGAGAACACTGTGGCAGGAGGAGTGTTACAGACGCCAGTGGGCACCTGCCAGTAACTGCAGCAGCTAGAAACACCCGTTCACCTTTCCAACGTCCCCAAGCGTCATCAAGACTATCCTTGTTGAAAGTCACTTCCAACACTTTCTACTGAAAACACTGAAATCCAGAGGAGTTAAGACACTTGTTGGCAGTTATCCTGTTGGTGAGTCTGTGCTAAGAACCCAGGTCATATGAATCCATTTTGCTTCATGGGAAATGAAGGCTCTGCTTCCAGATCCACAACTACTAGATGTGTGATTCTGGACAAGTCTTGAAAACCTCCTAGTCTCAGTTTTACCCCAATAAACCCAAGACAAAAATATTTCTAAGCTCCCTAAAGATTTCAAATTAATATGATTCCTTGGTCTCTCAGGAATGTCCAAGTTTTGCCTCAGCATAATGCATTGTGTGTGTGTGTGCGTGTGTGTGTGTGTGTAGCTCAGGAAAGAGTTGGGAAAATTCTGGACCAAATTTAAAGCACAACTTTTGTTTAAAGAAAAAAAATTCTAAATCTTATTCTATTTTTAAAATTACAGTAAGAACATTGGAAAAAGACAACCCAAATGTTTAGAATTTAAGGCTTTGGGAATAACATTTATTAACAGAATCTGGTCATTATATCTCAGATAAGAAAACATGTTTTGATCTTAGTTGAAATCCAAGCATCCCTACGGCTAAAAACAGTTTTAAGTGTTTCTTTTTCACTGTGCTTATAATTTCTTAATGATTTTCATGTTTGTCTCAAGACATAATGTTTAAGGGTTTATGGTCATTAACTATTGATATTTACAGTACTCCTACTTATTTCAATGTCTAAAATGAAATGTCTATCTGTTTTGTAAATCTAGAGTGTTCGAATTTTCTACATGTAGTTTTTCAAGTCAAACAGGTATGTCTTCTGTTAGATGAATAGCAAATAAGTTATGAAAATCATTTTCTTTACATAGTCTCATGAAACAGTTATTTTTCTAATGTCTCTGTATTGTTGAATCTCAATTTTTTTATTGATCTGTCTGCATAGGTGGATTTTTCTTCTTGCCCTGATTGTTCACTAATGCCCACTTTCATGTGTCCATTAGGCTTTCTACTAAGACCCTGCTCCAGAATGCTTAATGTTAGAAATCTTGCCTAGAGAAGGAATCCTAGACATTCCAACCTGGAAGCATTTTCCTTAAAAACATTTTTCCTTTTAATATTTTTAAGTTTCAAAGAGTTTTCAAGAACATCTTATGGGAAGCTCTACCTTCAATTCTTCTTAGCCCCTCCGGCCAAAAGTCTTCAGCTAGAAAAAAATAAAATAAAATGCTCCTTAAAAACAAAACAAAACAAAAAAAAAAAACGAAAAAATGAAAAACAAAAAAAACAACTGACTTTGTTGTTTCACAGGGAGGCGGTTTGGGAACTGAGGGCTCCCAGAATGCACTCCTGCAGCACTTCCTAAATCCTTTCAATGAACTGCACCTGACGCAGAGAATGAACGTGTATATGCCTGAAATGGTCTACAAATATACCAAGCACAGAGTTCTTTTGAAGTCTTATTTTTACATTAAAAATCCATATAAATGCTGCATTTTACTCCATTATGTTTCAATATAAAAGAAATGTTTTATATTGCTTATCAACTAGTAAAATTGATACTCTTATAACTTCATATACCTCTTTTGTACCCCTTGGAAAACATATCCCCAGTTTAAGAAGCACTGCATGAATGACGGGAACATAGACTGAACTTTCAGGTACGCTGGAGTTTTCTGCTACTGAGAAAGGGTACTCATCGGTAGCTAGCTCAGTGACTGAGGACAAACATCAGTGAGTAAAGACTATTTGAATGAACTCTAAATAACACAGACTCAAGAATGGCTAATTTGATTCTTCTAGCTATCTTAACAACCAGTGCAAATTGCCACAAGATCAACTTAGCTCAAAGACTGAGATGAATCATAGAAGTATAGAAATGGACACATGGATGAATGTCTTGGGTTGGATCACAAATATAAGAGTGACATAATTGAGTCCCTGGAGTTGATCTGATTTGTCTCTAAATATTTCCACTAGAAATTTCTCCATTCTGGCAAAACCAACTGCTTTGAAGCAAACATTTAGATCAAGCATTATCCTGATATGACTAGATCTGGTAACAAGGAGAGAGTGTATGCCAAGTATCTGTTCCCATTAATTTCTTGTCAAAACAGTCTCACTCTAATGTAGACACATGCTGGGGAAAGCCAACAATTTAACTATTTCCTCCTATAATTTGAATAGCAAAAAAAAAGCCTTATGTATGTAGAGTACCTTATAGTTTCTTCTTGAACTTAATCCTCACAACAGCCTTCTGAATTAGGTGTTATTTATCAATAAAGGACCGAGAGAATATGTATTTTGCTCAAGCTGACACAGGTCACTGGGAAGTAGAAGAACCCAGCCTCATCCATGTTGTCTGGCATCAACACACCAGAGTATGCTTCATTAGGGGGTTTTTTCCTATTAATATCTGAAATTATGTTGAAAGAAAAAAAAACCCTGGAGATAGATTTATAGTCATGTGGTTTGCTTAAAGCAGCAGTGGATCATAGCCAAATGGTAATTGACTGAAGATAAATGACATTGACCATCTTTAGCACACGTTTGCCAATTTAGAATTCTTGTCATAAGATCCACACTCCTGGGTGAAAGAAAAGAATTCATAGCTCATGATGTAACATGACATACATATTAGCCAGAGGGCTGAAGGAAGCTACTTGATTTTCTGAAACAAAAACAAGTAAAACTTTAGAAATTCCTCTAGTTTTCAAAGTTCAAAAATTTTGTCTAATTGAATTTGTCATTTCATTGTTCATTCATTCAGCAAATACTAGGTGAGCACTCCTCTATTACTAAAACTAGGTATTCTATGCCTAAATATTAAGTGAGCACCTCTGTATTCCATAGAAGGCACTGTGCTTGGTGTTAGGGTACAACCCTTAACCTCAAAGAGCTGACTGCCTGGCCCATTTACAACCAGGCTGAGGATCATTTGGGGGTACTGAAAAATGTCTCTTCTGAGTATGGGAAAAATCACTCCGTTATCAAACCAGGGAAGCAGATGACAACAAGTGAAATGCTTTTCCAGCAAACTGTTTTCCTAAGAAATAAACAGATGGCATAAATGGAAGTCTGATACATAATTATTTTTGAGACGCAATTTAGATTTACATGAGATAACAAATTGTTAACCTGAGTAAGATAATGGATTGTCAAAAAAAAAAAAAAAAGATAATGGATTGTCTTTCCTCATTATCTGGTAAATCAAAAAATAATTTTTCAATTAGGGATGCTGCTTGTCAAAATAGCTAGTAATGGTCTATCACTAATAACTAGAACAAGATTTAATACCAGTGAAAAGTCTGTAGCACATTTTATATTTTAATAGTTGATGATGGTTATGATGTTAAAAACAAACCATTTTTATGGTTTGTCTTACTTCCCGTTGACTACAGGTAACATTTTAGCAATGTATCACTATTCTTTGTTTAGCCCTCTGAATTTCTAAATGGAAGATATTTAAAATTCTATTGTATGGCTTGACTCAAGGGACTTATTCATGAGGTCCATGTGACTTTGAAAATCTATTGGAAAAAAAAAAAGAAAAAAAATCTATTGGATATTTTTCCACTGCCACTGTCCTCACCCATACAGAACTAAGAAAAGAAAAAAAGAAAGACTCTACAAAATCTAAGTAAAAAATGGAAATGCTCAAAGGCCCATCCCTAATAGGAAAGAGGAAAGGCCCCAACTCCAAAGCCTTGGTTCTATGTTATTGAAGCTAGTGCTTACTGTAATATAATGTTATCCTGCAATATAATGTTATTGGTTTCAATAACCGTTTCTTCTACTTGCCTTTTTAAAACAGCACAATCACCTAAGTCCTTATTTACCATTACCATTAATGCATAACTACTTCCTTCTTAAGTCTCAAGGGGTATTAATCCGTAAATATAAAGGGAGGTGGGGGGAGACGCTCTTTAATAATAAGACATCCCGAGGC